TGAAAATTCTTGAAATTAAAAGGTGCGTGCTGACAGTGATCAGCACTTCCACTCGGAGGATTATATTGCCTATTGTGATACTCTCAAATATTATGCCAGGGCGAGTTGCTAACCTTTGTTATCTTTTATCCTTGTTAAACCTTGTTGATTTTCCAGATGAAGTTATGGAAGTCCGATAAGTTTGCTTTCGTTATCTCTTCCAGGCTAGTGAAAAAGCGTTTCCGAAGTCTGCAGTCTTGGACAGAGACACAGGAAGTTGTTGATGGATTCTACCTCTTCCCCATCTTGGCAACTCGTACATAATCCACTTGTTAGAACTCTCCACCCTTGGAGCATAGGCGGTCTTTCCCATATAAAACCAATAAATTATACAAAACGATATGAAAACAAAATTGTACATATAAGGAAAATCGTCTTATCTTCTCTATGATTAAATAATTTTTTGAAGTTAGCAATGACAGTACATAAATATGATTTATTTATTATATTTTTCTTTGAAAAATCTACAACAATTTATTCATAATTTCAATGAACCCTGCAAATTTTGGATTTAATTTATACTTTCCATATAAATTTTTTTACGGGAAAAGCCATTTGATCCCTCATCTTATAAAATTTATAACTTTTCTTGTCGACTGTTTCATACTATATATCCGATTTCTAGTTTACACAACCGATACCAAGTAAATTGTGCAACGTTATTATGTGACTGAGAATAAATTATGCCGCTAAAGTACTCAAGTTCTGCCAAGCGACATAGCAGTGGAGCCTCACAGACTGTTAATTACTTTCATTAAATAAGCTTGAATGCAGTTAAAATTGAAATTGAATTTACTTTTAATTAAAAATTCACTGAAGATGTTTTTCTTGGCACCAGGCACCAGGCAGCAGGCAGGAGGCAGCAGCAGCGGTGGAGGATGTGAGTGAGGAAGTTGCACGTTAATTTTGCCACTTCAATCCAACTAAAGGAGTCTTCAATTTCTCTCCTTTTTGTTTAAAACAAAATCTGCACTGTTTCTGGCGCGTTGAAGGCTTTGCAAAATTGCGTGGCAATGGCATTGGCAATTAGACAATAGTAACTGTAAATTACTTGTCCACCAACAGATGGCAGCACTTACGATAGGCGGGCGTAGGATTCACACTCGTAAGCTGTCGCACTAATTGGAGCCGCATTGGCGGCAAACTTTTTCAAGCATTCAAAGTTGCACTGAATTTGAAGCTAAAACGATAAAAGGATTTTAGTATTTTCTTGTTTTGTGTTTTCTTTCAATTTTTTTCCAATACAGATTTTCTATTTATCTTAAGTGAATTTTACAAAAACAAAAAACGAGCAAAATCAACAGAAAGGTTTGCAGCAGCAAAGGCGGATGTGAGTATCTTTGTAATTAGTTTTGTAAAGTTGTCATGTCTGAGTGCGCTTTTCTATTAATGTTAAGAGGAAAACAATTAACATAATTAATGTTTTGAGTAGAATTTGAAAAACTTTCGTGTTAAAAACACAAAACTTTTCTTTATGGAGAGAACACCGCATAAAATTTGAACGTTTTATTTGCCCAAATAGGAAAATTACAACACTCGTAACACAAATTGACAATTTCTCATAAATTTCAAGTGTTCTTACTTCTAAAATAATAAATTAATAGGAAGTCAAATTGGAAGAATTTTACAAGGGAGTAAATAAAATATTTTTTAATATCTCGGTATAAATAGGGAACAGATACCTCAAATCATGTTCTATGTGAGAAAGAGATAGTGTTACTTACGGATAAAACTATTTTGCATACGAAGCAATAAATAATTAATATTTCATACAACGCAAATTGATGTTCATTAAAACTCAACCATATTTAGTTGTTATACACATGTGTCATAATTTTGGATCTTCTTACAACCTTTTTTTACAAGGAGTCTAAAGAGTTTTCTTACTTTTTAGTGAATAATTTTTGTATTTCAATTTGTGCTTATTACATTGAAGTGAGTGATGTAATGAACACATCGTTTATTTGAGCGTAATCGTATTCGCGACCTCACTAATTACAATTAAGGGTGTGCTTATCCAATTCCCTGATTAATGCCAAGGCTAAAACTATTACAATGACGAATACCTACTATCAATCGCCAGACAATATTTTACTCGGCTATATCACCCTCATGATGATATTCATTGCAATAGCAGCATTTCTTCAAAGTTGATTTTAGCTCTGAGACACTAACTTCTCCGATACCTTTCAATTTACTTCGTTGAGATCCAATCAGTTTCTATCTTGCATTTTTATAACCGTGGTTTTTCTATTCTTGATCACATAATAATTATATAATAACATTTCTCTGATTTTAACAATTACCCCTCTCCACCACATCTTTAAACTTCTTCCCTTATCACAGCCAACGCGATTTGACTTCGAAAAATTAAGATATCTACCTTTGACCTCTACTATTGAAATGAGCTTGTCAGCACCCTGATCTTCATGGTTTAATAACTGGAATCTTCATTGTGCTTTTAATAGGTTAAAGTTTGACACAATGGCTTTTAATGCTTTCTACTTACCCAAAAAAAAAAATACATTATTGTAAAAAACTTTTGGGATTGGTGGAGTATTGCACCAGGAATTGTAATAACTTGAAAAGTCAACTAACACTCATTATTGGATGCTAAATGCAAAATTAAGACTCCTAGAGTAAGGAGCTTTATATATTTAGTAATATCTAAATATAGCACTATAGTAAAACACAATATGAAAATGTTCGTTATAATTACTATATATATATGCACATAAATCATATAACTCTTTGGAAATTTATGCTTTGACATACTAGCATCAAATAGAAAAAACAGTGGAAACTGTATTCTAAATAGGTTTGGAAATGAACTTTAGAATAGGCAATAAGAGTGCATAATGCTAAGTTGCATTTGCGGCAGACAGTAAACTATCTTCGGCGACAAGGTCAAAAAAGTTCTGAACACTTGGCAATAAGCACTTGGCGATGTGGTGTAATTTTATTGAAAATTCAATAGAAAAATGAGAATTTGTTTTGCCAAATAGCTTAAGTGTATTCTCCCATACTCCTAATGTAAAACTTTGAAACTCAATTATTTCACTTTGAAGAAAAATTTTGACAGCACAACCCTTCTCCATTAGGTTTTCCCGTTATTTCTCTAATTGCTACTAAATATATTACAATCCTTTGAAGAT